CAGGGTGCAGGGCGCAAGGTGCAGGGCGCAGGGCGCAAGGTGCAGTGTGCAGGGTGCAGTGTGCAGGGTGCAGGGTGCAAGGTGCAGGGCGCAAGGTGCAGTGTGCAAGGTGCGGGGTGCAGGGTGCAGGGTGCGGGATGCAGGGTGCGGGGTGCAGGGTGCACGGTGCAGGGTGCAAGGTGGAGGGTGCAGGGTGCAGTGTGCAGGGTGCAGGGTGCAGGGTGCAGGGCGCAAGGTGCAGTGTGCAAGGTGCGGGGTGCAGGGTGCAGGGTGCGGGATGCAGGGTGCGGGGTGCAGGGTGCACGGTGCAGGGTGCAGGTCCCCTCTCCCTGCCGTCACAAGTCTCGGGGTAAACGCCGACTCCGCAAGGCGCAGCGGCGCTCAACAATGCAATAGCAACAGCAATTTTGATTGATAGAGAGCGTCACAATCTAAGCACATCTAGAGATGCTGTGCTGCATCAGCGCTGCGAGTAAAGAGAATGGAGGTGTTTTGAATGACTCAATTTTGAATGCTTTAGTCGGCTAGACACGACGGAATCGTAGAGTTCCGTTGTGCTGCATGTGAATGAGCGACGAGGAACGTTTATAACCAGCGAAGAGCCCATTGCGAGCACAAGACTTCTTCTTTACTCACAGTAGTGATGCATAGATTACATCACAAGACAAAGCTCGCCCTTATAGCCCGACACAGACTGTAGGGGCAAGTGCTGTTGACGAGTAGCACCACCTATGAAGGCCGGAGCGGCACACGAGGGGGTCGGTGGCCAGCACCACGCCCCTGCCACCTTTGTTCTCCCAATGCGGGTGTTTACACATCGCGACAGGTGCTCATTTGATGCCGAGTCGACCTAGGGGAAGCCCAGCACCGGTTCAGATAATAAACGTCACTGGTGTTGGTGGCCGCGAGCGAGAATCGAACTGTGGTCACCGGGTTCGTAGCGCACTGTGCTAACCCCCCCCCCCTCTCCCCCCCACAGTAAAATGTGGTATCTGTAAAACCAAGAGTGAAAAAATAACCCCACATTGAGACTGCAACACAAAGGCGTCAATGACACGGCGAGATATTGCCAAAGTTCCGAATGGGGAAATTGAATGTCTTCAACACGGTGTTACAATTGTTAACATGGCATTGTCGATTTAGAGCGATGGCCCAGAAGCGTTGGATTTATACTTCACGTGAGAATGTGAAAAGCGTTACGTTTTTGGTCAGATCTGCTGTCAAATTCTGTTCACATTCTGTGTGGTTCTTTCTGCTATACCACAAGCTGCTGATGGCTATCAATGTGGCTTCTCATGCAACACTCCCTGAGCCTCAAAGGCATCGTGGGTAGCACGCTCACACCCACACGCGTGTGCAATACGTGGCCTCCACACACACACACACACAGTGCCACACTTACACTATCACTCGCTCACACACGCGCACGTGTGCAATACGTGACCTCCACACACACACAGTGCCACACTCCTACACCATCACTCGCTCACACATTAAGATAAACCCACACACCCCCTTTGTACTTTCACAAGCTCACACACACACATCCATACACCACCACCCCCCGTGTTGCCTCAACAGACTTTTGGGGCAATTGCTGTTAGCGAGCGACACACAGGGTGGATGGGTGGTCAGCACCACGCCCGGCCGCCTTCGTCTCCCCAGCGGCGATGTTTACACACCGGCTGCTCATTGAGTCCGAGTGGAACTCGGGTCGCTGGCTTGGGAGCGCTGCGCGCTACCCGCTGCACCAGCACTGACACACACACACACACACTATCACAAACCCACAAATACCTTTACACCATCACAAAGCCACACGCAATCTCCTTCGCACTATCACAACAACAGACGCCCAGTCCCTTACACCATCACACAATGACAAATATCCCCCGTATAGCCTTAAAAGACTGCTGGGGCAAGTGCTGTTTCAGAGCACCTTGAAGGCCGGGTGGGTGGTCAACACCACGCCCGGCCGCCTTTGTCTCCCCGGTGTTTACACACCGCACCAGGTACAGTACTCATTTGAGGCCGAGTCGACCTAGGGGAGGCCCAGGACCGGTTAAGATAATCGTCACCGATGGTGGTGGCCGTGAACGGGAATCTAACTTCGGCTTGGCCGGGTTCGTAGCGCGGCGCGCGCTGACCGCGGCCTGCAACAAACAGCACCGTTGGCCTTGTAACAGTGGCATTGCTGCGCTGTGTAGATCGCTCCGCGTGGAGAACGAATGGCCACGTCGACGCACGCGCACAACGAGCACCGCTCCCTGGACCCAGCTGGGCCCACGACGGCGTCGTCGTCGGCATGGGGCCTGCACCCAGCACCATTCATCTTCTCGACGTCACCCCCCGTGACACTCACGATACGGGCGCATCGCAGCAGCGTGCACGCCACGAAATTGACTATTATTATTTATCATCGATGCAAACGCCATGGACACACGGCGCGCGTGTCTGTGTGTGTGTAGTTGTTGTTGTTGTTTGTATCGTGTCAATGCCAATATTGTTTACCGTCAGTGGTAGTGTAGCGGTCAGCGCTACGGTGCGTGAGAAACCTCGCGACCCGGGTTTCATTCCCGCTCACGGCCAACACCAGTGACGATGATCTGAAACGGTCCTGGGCCTCCCCTAGGTCGACTCAGCCTCAAATGAGTACCTGGTGCGATGTGTAAACATCGCCATGAGGGAGAAAAATGTGTCCGGGCGTGGTGGCCACCCACCCCCTCGTGTGCTGTGCCGGCTTTCATAGGCGCTCTCTAACAACACTTACCCCAACAGTCTGTTCAGGCTATACGGGGATATTTGTCTTTTGACTTTGTCTTGATGCCAGTTTTGTTTTCATCACCACCCACGACGCCAACTCCTAATGCGCGTTTCAGAAATTCCGTCGGGACAAATAAAAACTAAAACTGACCCATAAATTCTGTACAGCACCTTTTTTTTATCATACGCAAGTCTCTACCAACCAGCAGGTCAAACGGCGGTTATCCTCTATAGCTAGATTTGGCCCCTAGCCATAGTAATGTGGAATTTCCATCACTTGCTCAGAGCTATGCACAGATGAATAGCACACCACGTCCAAGCTGCTTTGAGTAGCACGAACTCACTTGGACTTTTCTTGAAACCAGATGTGGCGGACCAACGGCCTCATGGGCCTTACCGCGGCCAAGTTGTTAGCGCCGCTAATGAAAACATTCATCCGTTACTTGCTGCCGTGATGATTAGCACAATCACGCGACACGTGACGCTGATTACGGGTACAATCATTGAACACCGGTGATCTCTGCGCCACGTGACGGACACGTGCAGAGGATGTACAGTCCGATCGTTCTACGCCACATCATGTGGCTATTGTTTAGCAATCATCAGGCGTGTGCATCGCGTGACGGCTTCATTGTATTTGGGCGAAGGTTATTTGTAGACGTGGCGGCTCGCGACGACGTGGATTCATTCAGCGTCAAAGTCAGAAATTAGGCCGCGGTGGACATTACACATTCCTACGGCGGGGACGAGAACATCCATGTGACAGCACGTGGCGCTCGCCGAGCGCTCACGTGGTCACACCCGCTTTGTTCTGCCAGCGTCACGTGAGCACAACGTGCGCGTGCACGCGTCTTTTGAATTAACACATCCAGTTACGTCCCTACACTGAGATTAATAAGCAAAACTTCGGACAGTGACGCACGAATCCTAAGTCATATAGTCTTATGCATTGACAGTAAATGGAATCTCATAATCGATGTAATCGATAGATCGTCTCGTCCTGACTACATAAACCCCAGGGCGTGAATCCCCCCCCCCTTCATCCCGGTGCGCACTCCCCTCGTGATGCGATGGACGATATCGTAAGTGATAATCGATGTTCATCGACTACTCGATGAATCGTTACACCCCTGCTATTGAATCCACGCAGTACACAATGCGTCGACGTCAATCAATACAAGTGCAAACAGCACATCTAAGTCTCGTCTCTACTTGATATGAATAGATAGATGTTTAGTCCAGTCGCTTGGCTTTCCAGACCCATACTCTCCCGAAGCTGCATTTGTTTTAGCAAGCAAACTCTGGACCGGTCCTGGCCTTTCTGGGTGTCACCATCAGTCCGTTTTGGTAAACAACTGATGTTGTATTATCATACATCATTGGCAGAAGCACTCTGCATACACTATGGGACCCAGCCCGACGCGGAAAACGAGTTTGTGTGTTTGAGCGTCGCTTTAATGGGAAGTAAGGACATGTGATTGTATTCAGCGGTTTATTAAACGTTAACAATTATTATCTGACCCTTGCAGCCGCTAGAGGCGCTACACCGTGCGCCACAACCATTGACCTGGTGGTTGCGCGTTCGCCGCTCGATGCACGGGTTCACAGTTCGATTCCAGCGGCCGCCCTGATCAATACTGCGGGTGTATTTGCCGTAACATTATCACTACGCGCCGTCTGCTGCATCCACAGTGGACGCTAAATATCCCCTAACGTCATTCGCAAGAGTAGGACATCATGCGCCAGTTCAAACTTTCCAAATTTGAAAAATATATAAACCGTATATAACAATCATCGCCCCCTGCTGGCAGACTAATGCCCGTTTGCGTGCCAGGTCCTGAATATACTTGGTGGCGCACAGGGAAAGCTGCCACTGGGGATGCCCTTTCAATTGTGTCGAGGCGACGCGTGGCATCAAGCGTTCTGTGACAACCCCGGCGAGTAGGAGGAGAGCAGCTGTATCACACACACACACACAACTTTGTTATTTTTTTCCACGATAACTTGGCAAACCCCTGCTAAACGAGAGTCATGAGATTCACCAGTGATGCTTTAAACAAGCGAAGTCCTTTTGTTATTAATAATAGAGATAATACAATAACGCCAGTGTGCTTGTCTGTGTGCCTGTCCCATCATCATCATCGCCGCACGCACGCCCCTCGTGATGTGACGCGCGCGCATTGGCCGCCGCGTGACTATATAAGCGCTCAGAGACACGGAGACGCGCAGAGGCGCTTACGAGCCCCGACACACACACACACACACGCGCACGCCTGCATCATCATCACCGCCGCCACCACCACCACCACCACCACACGTATACTATAGTGTACACAGCACGTGTACGCAGCAGGGTGGACGGGCAGGGCTAGGACTCGATTTAGATTGTGTACCGCGGTCGACCCGTGGCGGTGACGCCGAATGATTATTAGCGCTCGCTGTATACGTACGTATACACACACACACACGCTGCGTACACGCATAGTAGGGGTGCGGGGCATACGACGCGGGGGTGGATACGTCGGACACACACCTAGCACAGCTGGTGCGCACGTACACGTACGACAGTTGCACGTGTACACGCAGAGCGCTCACGCCCAGCGAGACCTTGACGCAGCCGCGCCCAGTGTACACAGCCGTACGCCTGAGAACTCGTATCCCGGTGTGCACATGCATCGGGTACACGCGCCGACACGCATGTGCAGTGTAAACACGGATTCATAGTGCACACGTACAGCTACACGCGTACAGCTACGTACAGTATTCACGCATCTACACATTTGCGCAAACGCAGCAAAGCTACGATACATAGCTACCTCAAGCATACACAGGCACAGCTCCCCCGTATATCCTACACACGCTCGTGGGGCAAGTGCTGTTAGCGAGAATCCGCAAGCACCAATCAGACACTCACTCGCAGACACGTTACTCATCACACGCAGACACACGCGTAGCCTCACCCATCACTCATCTCACGCATCTCGCTCACATCTCACCACTCACCACCACTCACACCACCACCACCCGCGTCGCTTCGCGATGAGGGCCAACACCCCTGGCGCCGCGCGGCTGCTGCGCAAGGCCTCCCCGTGCCCGCTGCTGCTGCTGCCCGGCGCGTCGGGCCTCGGAGGCGTCTCGGCGGGCACGGCCGCAGACATGCGCGGCTGCTTCGCGCGCCTCCGCGCCCTCGTGCCCACGGTGCCCCCGGGCAAGCGCATCAGCAAGACGGAGCTGCTGCAGCACGTCATCGACTACATCGGGGACCTGCAGCTGGCGCTCGACGGGGCCCCCGAGCCGGTTGGAGAGCCCCAGCAGCAGCAGCAGCAGCAGGACGACGAGGAGGAGGAGGAAGAGGAGCAGGAGGAGTTGCAGCAGAGGCGAAGGAGGAGGCAGCGAAGGGACGGGGGAGGCGGCCACCCCTGGGGCGAGATGATTCCTCTTCCTCCTCCTGCCGTGGGTAGCGAGCACCGTCGGCTGCCGTTGGTGCCCATCAACCAGGCGACCGGGGTCAGGGCTCCAACCGTGACCTCAAGCTCCGCGGCGGCCGTACGCAGGGCGAGCGCCGATGTCGGGGTGGAGGTGAGTGGTGGATACACGAGGGCGCACGTGGGTGGTGCATGGTTGGTACGAGCGAATGATACGTGATTGGTACCACGTTGCATGGTTTATGAGGGTGCACGTGGGCATGCCTGCATGCATGCTGCTACACGTGGGTACACGCTGTGGATACAAGTGTGTACGCGGGCATTGAAAAATCCACGTGGGTTCCGTGGAGCGCGATGAACACACGTGTGACGTGCATGATCGTGGGCATGCAACGCGCATGACATGTGTGTGTGTGTACACGTGTGTGTACACGCGTATGCCGTTCCAAATGGACCTTATGTAATTGTGACGTATAAAACGTCAAGTAAATTTGATCTCGTGTGTGTGTGTGATCTTACGCGGTGAATGTCAAATTTTACTGGGTTAGTAATTTGCTATAAATGCCATGTAGTGTATATCACATATGTGTAAAGTGTGTGTATTGAATGCCAGGCTAAGTGTATCGCTTGTGGATATGTGTGTAGTACGTCACTAAATGTAGAACACGTGCAATGTCTACGTTTGCATGATACGCTTGCAATGTGGATGACAATCCATGAAGAGTATTTGGTTCATGTCGCCCCACGTAGAACGCGGTTAGAGTTGAGTGCCAGAGCGCGTGTGGTGCAGCCTGGTCGAGACGGACGGTGCATCATGCGCGTGTGGTGCAGCAGTTGGGCTGTCGTGAAGTCCGCACAGACGGGATCGCCAGTAGGCCGGGCGCAGCACTCTGTCTGCTCATCGTCGTCCGTGGCCCGTGCGCCCACGGCTACGGTCGATCTTAGGAAGCCACTGGAAGCTGTGCACTTGTAAACCTAGATAAACAACAAATATTTAGAACTTTTTTTCGTGTTTAGTTTGTTGTCCGTCCCCCCGCACCTCCGATTAGCACGGTTGGCTACGTACGCACACGAAGTTCAACATACACACAAGAAGTTCAACATACATACGTTCACTTCGGGGAGTGATTCCCTACATTTCTGCCCTTGCAATGCACTCACGGACGAGGACTCGGCGCCTCCCGTGTCGTTCGTGCAACTTGCCTCACCATACGTCACCATCGCCGCTCCGTGCGGGTCGATGCCCGGCACCGGTTGCCGATGTCACTCGTTCACGAACGATAGCCGTGGTCAGGTATCGAACGCGGACCACCAGCACTGCGCTAACCAGCGCGCCACCGCTCTTCTTCATCCAGCAGCGTCGGTCGCGGTGAGCGAAGTTGCTCGGCATTGGCGTGCCCGTGGCGGTGGGCCGTGACCTTTGAAGACCCCCGACTGAACCCCGCGTGGTGCCACACGCGTCCCAACTCGCTGCACGCGCGAGCACCGCCTTCACGGTGTCGTCGCGATATTGACTTTCAATGAGCTCTCGACTGATTCAATTGAAATTTAAAAAAAACACATCGATTGATGCACCACCCACCTACATACCCTACCGCAAAGCGATCGTGCACGGAAGGATTAGCCGTAAATATTACAACCAGTCTCTCTGATGGAGGCTGGTGACGTAAAACGTCGGGCAGTAATGTCTTTCGAATATTAGTATTGTCATTAGCAATCGTTTATTCTCGGCGACTCGTGCAATACTGCACAGTCGCACGGTGACAACCTAATCATTCATCTCTGGTCGGTGCGGATACGTCCGTGACCTACCTAGGACGGTTTTTTTTTTTTTTCGAAAACATTTCACGCCGCCACGGGATGTTGCTGCTCGGCATCGCTCGCGGGACGAGCTCGGCCGGTGAAGGTTCCTCGCCGGCCTCCGAGTCGCGCGATGATGCCCGGAACGATCCCCGTCACCCGTGAACCAAGTACTCCGCCTCCCGTGGAGTGCGACGCTAAAGCCAATCGATTGTCAGCACGTGCGGCCCGCTGCCAGAAAATGTACGAGGATCCTCGTCTCCGATGTTGCAATGTCATTTCCGTACGCGCAGGGCGCACGCAGGTCTTGCGTAGACGGCACACGTTGTGTGTACATGTTGTGTGCACGTTGTGTACATGTTGTGTGCACGTTGTGTGCACGTTGTGTACATGTTGTGTGCACGTTGTGTACATGTTGTGTGCACGTTGTGTGCACGTTGTGTGCACGTGCGCTAATCGCCGATCGCTCACACGGCGTGGTGCACGTACCGTGTGCGCCACGTGTGTGTGTGTGTGCGCTGCGCTACCAAACTGACTATCCGTGTTCGATTACCGCTCACGGCCACCAACAACCAGTGACGATTATCTGAACCGGTCCTGAGTCTCCCATAGGTTGACCCAGCCTTAGATGCGGTGTGTAAACGTCGTCACGAGGGGGGAGACAAAGACGACCGGGCGTGGTGCTGGTTTCCCACCCCATCGTGTGCCGTGCCGGCCTTCATAAGGGCTCGCTAACAGCACTTGACCCAAAAGCCTGTTCACGCTCTACGGAGATAGTTGTCTTAATTACACAAACACTCGCTTCACGTCAGACCCCTGTATGCAGAAGTGTGCCGGCCAACCCAAGATGCAACGTCTGTGAGTGCGAGTCGTCGAGGTGACTACAGAGTTCAGGGTAGTATTCATCTTCTCAGCTGGCATTCTGCAAGAGTACAACTTCACGAACCCTGATCCTGATTGACACTCCGGCGACATTTGTCAAGTTTGGCAGATTCAGTAAATGTGTTTGAGCCGGGTTGTTTTCATCACATGCGTTGTGGCGGTACTGACGTCAGGCAGGGCTCAATTGATCACTCCATATCTGATGGAACGCTGCCGATGCGTCAGGATTATCGGCGTAAGGCACTACCACTAGCATAGAGGAGATACTCCTTGTCCACAGGAACCCTACATTATTGCACCGCGTTATACTTCTACAAGTCACACCTGGGGATCAACATTCAGCGAGATGTTTGAGGCGGTGTCAAAGTCATTTCCGGAACAGCGCAACGGGGCTGAATGTATTTACATCTCGAGAGAGGTTAGCCACAAATCGAGGCTAAACCAAAGACACAGTTCCCCCGTATAGCCTTAACGACTTTTAGGGCAAGTGATTGTTGGACGCTAGCACCTATGAAGGCCGGCACGGCACACGATCACTTGTTCCCCGAGTGGCGACATTTACACATCGCACCAGTGACTCGTTTGAGGCCGAGTCTACCTAGGGGAGACCAAAGGACCTGTTCAGATACGCGCAGCGGACTCGCCGCGACACGACCTCTCCCCACACAACAACAACAACAACAACACGCACGCATCTCCCCCACACAACAACAACAACAACACGCATCTCCCCCACACAACAACAACAACACGCACGCATCTCTCCCACACAACAACAACAACACGCACGCATCTCTCCCACACAACAACAACACGCACGCATCTCTCCCACACAACAACAACACGCACGCATCTCCCACACACAACAACAACACGCACGCATCTCCCCCACAACAACAACAACAACACGCATCTCCGCCACACACAACAACAACAACACGCACGCATCTCTCCCACACAACAACAACACGCACGCATCTCTCCCACACAACAACAACAACACGCACGCATCTCTCCCACACAACAACAACAACACGCACGCATCTCTCCCACACAACAACAACAACACGCACGCATCTCTCCCACACAACAACACACGCACGCATCTCTCCCACACAACAACAACAACACGCACGCATCTCTCCCACACAACAACACACGCACGCATCTCCCCCACACAACAACAACAACACGCACGCATCTCTCCCACACAACAACAACAACACGCACGCATCTCTCCCACACAACAACAACAACACGCACGCATCTCCCCCACACAACAACAACAACACGCACGCATCTCCCCCACACAACAACAACAACACGCACGCATCTCCCCCACACAACAACAACAACACGCACGCATCTCCCCCACACAACAACAACACGCACGCATCTCCCCCACACAACAACAACAACACGCATCTCTCCCACACAACAACAACAACACGCATCTCTCCCACACAACAACAACACGCACGCATCTCTCCCACACAACAACAACAACACGCACGCATCTCTCCCACACAACAACAACAACACGCACGCATCTCTCCCACACAACAACAACAACACGCACGCATCTCTCCCACACAACAACAACAACACGCACGCATCTCTCCCACACAACAACAACAACACGCACGCATCTCTCCCACACAACAACAACAACACGCACGCATCTCTCCCACACAACAACAACAACACGCACGCATCTCTCCCACACACCAACAACAACACGCACGCATCTCTCCCACACACAACAACAACACGCACGCATCTCTCCCACACAACAACAACACGCACGCATCTCTCCCACACAACAACAACACGCACGCATCTCTCCCACACAACAACAACAACAACACGCACGCATCTCTCCCACACAACAACAACAACAACACGCACGCATCTCTCCCACACAACAACAACAACAACACGCACGCATCTCTCCCACACAACAACAACAACAACACGCACGCATCTCTCCCACACAACAACAACAACAACAACACGCACGCATCTCTCCCACACAACAACAACAACAACAACACGCACGCATCTCTCCCACACAACAACAACAACAACAACGCACGCATCTCTCCCACACACAACAACAACAACAACACGCATCTCTCCCACACACAACAACAACAACACGCACGCATCTCTCCCACACACAACAACAACAACAACACGCACGCATCTCTCCCACACACAACAACAACAACAACACGCACGCATCTCTCCCACACACAACAACAACAACACGCACGCATCTCTCCCACACAACAACAACAACACGCACGCATCTCCCCACACAACAACAACAACACGCACGCATCTCCCCCACACAACAACAACACGCACGCATCTCCCCCACACAACAACAACACGCACGCATCTCTCCCACACAACAACAACAACAACACGCATCTCCCCACACAACAACAACAACACGCACGCATCTCCCCACACAACAACAACAACACGCACGCATCTCCCCACACAACAACAACAACACGCACGCATCTCCCCACACAACAACAACAACACGCACGCATCTCCCCACACAACAACAACAACACGCACGCATCTCCCCACACAACAACAACAACACGCACGCATCTCCCCACACAACAACAACAACACGCACGCATCTCCCCCTCACAACAACAACAACATGCACGCATCTCCCCCACACAACAACAACAACACGCATCTCCCCACACAACAACGAAAACAACACGCACGCATCTCCCCACACAACAACAACAACACGCACGCATCTCCCCCACAACAACAACACGCATCTCCCAGCTCGCCCCTGCCTGGGGCCTAGGGCCTCACGGCGGCACGAACCTCCCGCTCCGCCGCGCGGCTCATCGCGGTCTCACCTGACCCCCCCTCCACCCCCCCACCCCCTCCACCCCCCGCTACAATTTTAGATGGAGAAAGACGACGAACGTAACTTTACATCTGGCCGATCGCTTCGAGCTAATCACGAAGTAAACGTGTTTATTGCGCAAGTCGCGGCTTTGAGACGACGTTTGCTGTGCGTGCGCTTCAAAGCGCGCGTGCAATACCCCTACACGGGTATAGCTTGCACAGTGTGCTGCGCGGAGCACACGAGGCGGCCCAGGGATATTGCAGTACAGCAATGGATCCTCGAATCGATCCGCGCGGAAATGTGTCACACGCAGCCCCGCGCGGCCCTGAATGGAAGCCTGGTCGGCGTGTGGTGGGAACCGCCGAACTGGAGAGACAAAGACGGCTGCGGCGGCCTGCGCCTCGCGATCAGCGCTGGCCTCAATCCGAACCAGAATAGTTGTTGACACTGGAGGAACCGATGAGCTTTAGAGATCCTGTTCACTGGTGCCCACTCGGGGCAGGTGAGACGGTAACGACAACAACAAACAATACAAACAACGCAATCGGAGTGCACAGTACGAGCGGGGTAAACGAATCGCGCAAACACAAATACTGGGTGCTCGCTAACAGCGCCTTGCCGTGTGGTGTGCGTCCGAGGCGAGCGGGGTGAGGTCTGTCCGCGTGGAGTTCCACAGTCCTGGCACGTGTGGGTAAAGCGCAGAACCCGATCGTCGCCGTTTCTCGAACTCCACTTCGCCCTTGTAAAACAACAACGATCAGATGGATGCCCACTGTTTATTTACTCAGGATAATCTCACCGTGTCTCGACTCCTTCAGAAGGGTCATGCAATGGGATGTTTGGTCAATTCCTAGGTAAAGTAAAGTCTCGACAAACCTGGATAAAACCCACGCGGCAGACCAAGGTCTAACGCTTAACGCTCTGCACAGATGGATTCAATAATGCATGGCTGTACTTGTTCTGCTGGCCACCTCGCAAACCTATCCTATACCTACAGGCAGGCCGCCATCCCAGCACTAGCCAGGCTCAATCCCGCTTGGCCTCCGCTGTGGGATGATCGCGAGGCCAGTGCACGTGGTGTGCACGTGGTGAAACAGCGACGTCTCTCTCCGGACATATGAGTCCGCACCCGGCACGCCACATCCAGTAAACACCCTTCTCTGAGGTCGTGCATGTACACACGTGTACACGTGCGCACGTGGTGGTGTGTGTGCCAATCACAGAGTTTGTCACAGCCACCGACTCCCCCGCCACCCCTCGTCATCGCTTCCTTCCCTTTACTACACAAACCGGATCTAGGAAAATCTCCAAAAAGACCAAAACGACGCGAAACGACGCGGCTTTCGCAATTGAGGCTGGCCAGGCGGCGGCAGTGGGATTCGAGAATCCATCTGTGCGGAACATTGAGCGTCAACCCCCTTTCACGCGTCTTGAGTCGTCTCCGGATTCTCCAGTGCTCTCCCGCACGAAGCCAAACTCCCATTGTTAATGGGATTGGCCAAACATCCCAATGTAGCAGGACCCTCCTGCAAAAGTGCCTTGAGCCTCATTGAAGCTTTACTGGGTAAACGACATCATCATCATGATTATTATCACTCCTCATATTGAGCTTGCTTGGAGACACCGTGAACGGGCATGGGCTGTGTGAATGCATCGATGATTGAATGACATTCAGGTGGAGCTGAATGAATTTCGCTGGAGGGAGCCGAGTGAATGACAGGTCCGGGTGTGCAGTGTCATCATCATGAGTGCGAGTGACAGTGGAGTGAGCTGAATGGGTAAATCACGGTGGAGTTAATCGCGGAATGGATTACACTCCTGGCGTGAGCTGAACGAATTAATGAACGACACTTGAGCGAGATTAATCAATACATGAATGACGCGAGTAAGTGCGTGAAAAACCCTGGAGTGAGCCGAATGAGTTAATGCCACCGCCATGAGTTGGATGAATGACAGTCGTTGAATGAATGAGCCATTGACAGTGGAGTGAGCGGATTGAACGAATGTATGCGTGGAGTGAGGGAGTTGAGTCTGCATTGAGTCTCCGCGTCTGCTGCTGCTGTTCGTATCCCGCAGTTTCTCCACGTGGACGCGACTGTTGACAAATCACCTCAGCTCTAAGAACACTGCATCGGAGCCAGATACTGGTACGTGCTCGTCACTGGCGCGCAGAAGCGTGTCTACCTGCACACCTGCGTGCATAGCGACCTACGTGCATAGCGACCTACGTGCATAGCGACCTACGTGCATAGCGACCTACATGCATAGCGACCTGCGTGCATAGCGACCTGCGTGCATAGCGACCTACGTGCATAGCGACCTACGTGCATAGCGACCTACGTGCATGCATAGCGACCTACGTGCATAGCGACCTGCGTGCATAGCGACCTACGTGCATAGCGACCTACGTGCATAGCGACCTACGTGCATAGCGACCTACGTGCATAGCGACCTACGTGCATAGCGACCTACGTGCATGCATAGCGACCTACGTGCATAGCGACCTACGGACATGCACGACCACTCGGCCACCCACGGATAAGGCCGAGAGCTCTTGCGCAGACAATGCACGCGCGTGCGTCTTATTAATTCCATCCATGCGCTATGTTGGGATGTAGATACACATGTATGCAATGTACACACTTAGATACATACATAGATATGTACAAGGCGTGCGTACTCCCACCTCCTTCTAGACGTCTGGAAAGCGTGGAAGATGAGCCATATTTCTTCTCAAGAGGGGCTCTATCGTGCCCACCCCTACCCTCCGAGTGAAGGTCCATTCCGCCAGCAGTGACTCGAGCGTGCAATTGCAGGGCTCCCTCTTTACCCTTGCACTGTGCGTGTTTGCGCGTGGTAACAACACCGCCGTCGCGTTTTGTGTTGCAGGTTTGCGGGCGGGCTTAGCCCCGAATACCTCCAAGCGACGAAAGCCACCATACCTCGCCCCCCTCCTCCTCCTCCTCTCGACTCTTTCTCGATCACACGTTAGACCGTTTCGCCAGTGACCGCTGTAGAATGTTTTTTTCCCCTTATTTTGTCTCTCTCTCTCGTCCAAATCCTGCCGCGCGTGTGGGCGCGCGTTGAGCCACACGGAAACTCCGCAGACCTCGTCTCAACCAAATCAAAACTGGCACAGCCTCAAGAGTGATATCAATGCATCATACGAGCTTTGTACATAGTGACCACGAGTAATAATTAATGATGGTAATGATGATAATTAATAATCAGTGTACACGTGCGCCGCCGATGCTGCTGCGGAGCTGAGTGTATCGGGTGAAGTGTGCGTGCGTGTGTGCGTGCGTGTGTGTGCGCGCGTATTCGATGTACATGTAAGTTACACCCAGGGGCTTCATTTCTTTACGAGATATTTTCCGGAACGCTGCTCAGAGACTAGTTGGGAGTTGCGGGATATCGGGGTGAGGAACAAGCACGCCGAAACGTCATAATCCGATATTAGTGCAGCCCACTGCCCTACAATTCCAATAAACACGTTAATATATATATTAAAAAATATACAAATTAAAACAACCTGTTCATAGTGCCAGGTTCATTTGTTAAAAACCGGATGAGCACCCAAGAGACCAGGATGGAGTCTCGTGTGGAAGAGTGAACCCGGGTGGGTTTGGAGAGGGCCGTGGGAATAAAACGTCACGTAGCAGCGTTCCGGACTCTTCCGGTTGAAATCAAGCACTGCTCATAAACACGTGGCGACGTGTCTGCATGTAAAATTGTACAAATGTCGGTGAATGTTATAATAAGACGAAAGGCGTGCACGGTTTTTATATATAAAATAAAATAACTCGACGAGTCGAATCGAGCCGCGTGTCTGTCAATACCCATCTTGTGCGTGACGCGAGCGGCACAGCGTGCAGACCTCTGCCCGGCACGTCCCCTCGTGCACGCGCGCCTGCCCCGCACGGCGGCCGCGTGCACGCGTTCAATCGCACTGGGTGGGGTGGGGGTGCCAGCAAGAGGAGCACGCGCGTTAGAGAAGGGACACGCGCAGGTGATATCATTCAATCGGTTACAGGACAGTAAGTGTGGCTTGGGCAGGATACGTGACCACGGGCTCACGGCTCCAAGGGATGATCGCCGATGGTCAAGAACTGTGACGTTCACGGGAGAGAGACACGCAAACTCCAAATATATCGACGTCGTGGTCGGGATCGAACCCACGTCCTCCCGTATACCGGGCGGCAGCCATGCAGTAAGCCAGCGCTACCAGCAATTGCCCAAGCTCTGCAGTCCTCTATACATCAAGATTATTTCAGCTAATTACAACGAGCGTGTATGCATAATAAAGACGAGGGTATCTGTCTCTCTCCGTGTGTAACAAAAACTAAATCCGTCAGCCACTCCCTCTGGCGCTGAGCCGCCTCCACCCTGCGGTGTGTGCGTGCCGGGTACACGTGGTGCGTACACGCCGCGTGTGCCACGGGCTGGGTACCTGCCGCGGGCTGGGTACACGCCGCGGGCTGGGTACACGTCACGGGCTGGCCCGCCTCTCCACTGCCCCACAGGAATGCCGCGCGCTCCACGGCCAACTCATTATCCTCTCCACGCCGCCCCCATTGTGCGCGCGCTGATACGGAGCACGTGCTCGTTGTATTGCTTATCGCTCCCCATTGCGCATCATCCATCGCACCTGTGCCAGCGTCGCAACTCACACACACACATGTGTGTGTAGGAGGGCGATTACGTGTGTGTGTATGCCAGTGTGTGTGTGTGCCAGTGTGTGTGTGTGTGTGTGCCAGTGTGTGTGTGTGTGCCAGTGTGTGTGTATGCCAGTGTGTGTGTGTGTGTATGCCAGTGTGTGTGTGTATGCCAGTGTGTGTGAAGGTGTGGGGAGAGGTTAGCGCGCTGCGCTACGATCCCGACTATCCAAGTTCGATGCCCGCTTACTGACAACACCAGTGCCGATTATCTGATCAGAGCTTGGGCCTCCCCTAGGTCGACTCGGCCTTAAATGAGTACCTTGTGCGGTATTTAAATATCGGCATTCGGGAGACAAAGGCGGCCGGGCGTGGTTCTGACCACTCACCCCCTCGAGTGTCGTGCCGGCCTTAATAGGTGCTCGCTAACAGCAATTACCCCCAACAGCCTGTTGAGGCTACACGAGGTGATACTTGTGTGTGTGTGTGTGAATGTGTGCCTGCATTGCATGGTATTCACACACACACACAGGCGGACAGGCGCTGCAAGTTCGTTTGCTCCACACCTTCACAGGGCAGTCTCAACATCGCGTTATACCCATCGAGAGCGAATTACTATTGAATCATCACTTACCGTCGAACCACTGCTGGATGAAGGAATGCTTATATCAATGCAGAATCATTGTTGTACTGCACTACGGCGCCGTGTCTATGCCCACGGCCTCCACTAACGCGCGCTGTCCAGCGTGCTGAAGCCCTATCTGGGGGTGGGAGGCCTTCATCCAGCAGTAGAGTGGCAAAACAATCTGTACACGTACACTCCCTCTCGATTATTACCGTCCTCCCGTATACAATGAGCACTCAGGGTGTGCATTTGCCTCGCGCTTTACGTGAGCTAGGATCTAAGATTGGGGTCGCAGCGTGAACGCGATGTTGGTAAGGCACACTCCGGCAAATGTGTTCGTACACGGCACACCACATCCAGTGTCCATCTCGCAAAGGCTGTGGATACCAGTCACGTGCCTGCTCCAGTCTACCGCCGAGCCGGAACATATTTAGTGAGAAATTAAGCCCTAGAGAGGGGCTGGGGTGGTCGATACGTCAGAGCCTTGAAAACTGCCTCGAGGCAGAGCGCGCTATGCAGAGAAGCATGCCCGGTGTGACTCAAGCAGCCCACGGTCCGTTCACTGCTGGATGAAAGCCCCCTCGAAGCCGTGGCCACCTCTCACGGCCCTGCGACGCAACAATATGTCTGTACAGCGCATGTACATCCTCCCACCTATACACGCAAAGACACGGTATATTTATACACGTGTATACACGTTTGTGAAGACACGGTATATTAACACGTATTTATACACAGACATGCATGGCCAACGCATCACGTTACACGCACAATAAAACACGACGCACACCCCACCACTCAATGTGTATTGTAGACGTTCTGCACATACACACACACCGACATGCCATATATACAATCCCATATATGCGTGCCACACACACCAAAGACACCCCGTGTAGTGTTTGACAGACTATTCGGGCAAGTGCTGTGAGCGAGCACCTATAAAGGCGGAAACGGCACACGAGGGGATGATGTGTTCTGTACCACGCCCGGCCGCCTTTGTCTCCCCGGTGTCGATGTTTAAACGCCGCACCAGGTATGCATTTAAGGCTGAGTCGACCTAGGGAAGGCCCAGAACCGGTTCAGATATTCGCTACAGCTACGCATACAAAACAGTCCACCATATAAAGTACACACAAACACACCATATACAACACACACATATCATACATAAGCAAAACGTGCTGTAAAAAAATACATCATACAAAAGCCATATATATCATACATAACACACGCCGTTACTGTAAACCATACGTGGAATACGTGGAATGCGTGAAATACTTCTGCTCCAATTGAGATATTATTGCCAGAATATAATTGAAGGCAACCCATCTATACACCGCCGTCCACACGCACGCACAATGCACACACACACACACCCCATATACACAATAGACGTAAGCCTTGTGCACGATACATACACACGCCACAGACACACATCGTATAGATGCGTCATGAAAATGTCACACACCACATACACACACACAAACAATAAATATAAAGCCGACACTCACTATACATCATCTCACACTATACATCATCACACACACCATAAACAAAGACAAAGACCCCCCTATAGCCTTAGCAGACTCTGGGGGCAAGTGTTGTTAGTGAGTAGCACCTATGAAGACCGGCACGGCACACCAAGAGGTGGGTGACCAACACCACGCCCGACCGCCTTTGTATCCCCAGTGGCAATATTAACTACACATCGCACTAGGTATTCATTTGAGGCTGAGTCGACCTAGGGGAGGTCCAGGACCGGTTCTGCTAATCGTCAATGGTGTGACCCGCATAAACACACACACACCGTATAGACATGACGACAGGACCTACACAATATAGATAAATGTCAGGCACCACTGCACCATACAATCACTCTACGCCATGAATCAATAATTAATATCGGTGTACACACTGCAGAAATCAACACGTGCATCAATAGCACTCCCCTAAAAGCATAATAACATCAGAGACAATATATATTAGACAATATTTATTAGGCAACGTTTTGAGAAATGTCGCTTCTTAATAGACATGAAGCCGATGATAAATGTCAATGCTATTATAGCAGCCACATCAAAGCAATGAATAAGGGCCAATCCTCGAAACGTCGCCTATGTTTCGATTTAAAGCTTTCGTGACTGCAGGGATTCATCTTCTTGGTTCTTTCGGTAAAGTCACGTAGAAGGGAAGTAATAAAATAATAAAAATAAAACATAATAAAACAATTCTCACGACGTATCGGCCACAACGCAAGCAGCCGTCCTCAGGTGAAAACCAGGTCCGTCGAGGCGACAGAGTCTGAATGAAACAGCACACGAGCTTGGAGCATATATATAAGCTGGGCGCATTGACAAAGGAATTTGCATATCAAAAGGAATTTAGCATATTTATGGAAAATGCAGGAATGTGATTAGTACTGCATATGCATGTGCATTATGCAGGATTAACAGCATCAAAGGGAGCTGCAGTTACTGCTGCTGCAGCAGTTGCTGCTGCTGCTGCAGTTTCTGCTGCTGCTGCAGTTGCTGCTGCTGCTGCAGTTGCTGCTGCTGCTACACTTGCTGCTGCTGCTGCACTTGCTGCTGCTGCAGTTGCTGCCTTATCCATTTTAATATAACACTATGTATTATTCTACCCACCCTAATGTGTATCATACTGCTATATGTTTACTGTACAATTACGACACCATACATTACTCTGCACACTGCACCCTGCCAGTGAGTGGAACGCGGTCTGAAAGTCACCATTAACGTGAACACATCTTAACTGATTGTGTTCACGTTAATGGTGACTTTCAGACCGCGTTCCACTCACTGGCAGGGTGCAGTGTGCAGAGTAATGTATGGTGTCGTAATTGTACAGTAAACATATAGCAGTATGATACACATTAGGGTGGGTAGAATAATACATAGTGTTATATTAAAATGGATAAGGCAGCAACTGCAGCAGCAGCAAGTGCAGCAGCAGCAGCAAGTGCAGCAGCAGCAGCAAGTGCAGCAGCAGCAGCAACTGCAGCAGCAGCAGAAACTGCAGCAGCAGCAGCAACTGCAGCAGCAGCAGAAACTGCAGCAGCAGCAGCAACTGCTGCAGCAGCAGTAACTGCAGCTCCCTTTGATGCTGTTAATCCTGCATAATGCACATGCATATGCAGTACTAATCACATTCCTGCATTTCCCATAAATATGCTAAATTCCTTTTGATATGCAAATTCCTTTGTCAATGCGCCCAGCTTATATATATGCTCCAAGCTCGTGTGCTGTTTCATTCAGACTCTGTCGCCTCGACGGACCTGGTTTTCACCTGAGGACGGCTGCTTGCGTTGTGGCCGAAACGTCGTGAGAATTGTTTTATTATGTTTTATTTTTATTATTTTATTACTTCTCTTCTACGTGACTTTACCGAAAGAACCAAGAAGACGTCGCCTATGTGTTGTAGACGAATGTGCAAACCCATTGTCACGCATTCCAACGCAGGTTCGCAAGGAAGCATGTTCATGCATAGACCCCTACAGTTACACACATGTAGA